GGCGGCCTCTGCCTCGGCCGCAGCCTCGCCGGCCCGCCGCGCCTCCTCGGCGCGCGCGGCTGCAGCCAGCCTGCGCCCCGCCTCGGCCGCCGCCGCGAGCCGACCCGGCGGCGGCTCGCGCAGGTCGGGCGGAGGCCCATCGGCGGCGGCCGCGGCGGAGGCTGCGTGGGAAGCCTCGGACTGCAGCTGCTCGAGCGCGCGCGCCGCAGCCTCTGCGGGCGGCAGGCCGCTGCTCAGGAGCTCCGCGAAGCGCGAGCGCAGCCGCTCCTCTGCGGTGGCGGCGGCGTCCGGCGCCAGCGGCGGAGGCTGCGGCGGTGCCGGCGCCGCAGCGGCCGGCTCCACGGGTGGTGGCGGGTCCAGTGTGATCGGAGAGGGAGGAGGATCAGGCGGCGATGGCGCTGCCGAATGTGGAGGCCGCGCCAGACCTTCCTGCAGTCGAAGTGCCTCCGCCGGCGTGAAGCCCAGCTCAGCGAGGGAGTCAACGAGGAGATCGGCTCGCATCGAGGCGAGGAGGCTGAAGGTGAGCTCCTCCTCCTCGAGAAGTGAGCGGTGGTGGTCGAGCTGCAGCTCCGAGAGGAGGCGGGCTAGTAAGCTGTCGCTCATTTTCGGCCCGCACCTCCAGTATCGTAGTCTTTGTTAGTATCGAGGTCTCGCGAGTTTTGGGGGTTCTCGGCGCCGCGACAGCGCTGCGAGCCGCGCGATGCCACGGCGCTCGGCCTGCTGAGAGAAGAGCTTCCCGGACGGCAGTGACAAGTTACCCGACATCAATCGTCGACGGCAACCTCGAGAACTGCGCCTCCAAAGTCGCCCAGATTCGCCTCTCGCGGCACGCTGAGTTAGTATCGCCGGTGCGCCAGCAGGCTCTGCTCCACAGCAGGGCATGCCCGACTGGCTCCTGCTAGCCGTGCGTCCTGGTGGCATCCATTGCCAGCTCAGGTAGCCTCAGGAGGTCGCCTCGCGCACGACGCGGCGTCGCACAGCACCGCTCAGCGTTACTACCGAGTTAGTATCGTCGACCCACAGAGACTGCTCTTCTGTAGGTGGAGCCGACAAACGCCGGCCGGGTCGGCGCCGCCGCCCCCATCGCCGCCGCCGGGGCGGCGGCGGCCTCGGCGGACCATCCGGCGCGCCGCGCGCCCGTCGGGGAGGTGTTCACCACCCCTGGCTCCTCACCCCGCCACGCCTTCGTGCGGACGCCGTGGCACCCACCTCAGGCGCCGCTCGGACTCGGTTGACGGCCACCCAAGTGCTTGGCTCATGCCAAGCCGACCGGCAGGCGATTCCCAGTCACTGCTAGGCTAATCTCGGGCTGTCCTGCGTCAGTGTGGTGCCGTGAGGGGCGCCGCCCCCAAAACTACGATCGTTAGTACCGTGCGGGGGCAGTGCATTTAATTCTGTCAAAAATCCAAATCTGCTCCGTGGCGCTTATTGGGCTAGGATCATACGTCCGGGAGGCCCCCCATGCGTGCCGTAACGATCGACAGCGATCTGGCTACTCTGTTCACGTTCACACCTCGTAAACCCCCCATTACCCCGATACAGGAGGCAGTGTTGTTCGCGGGGCGAAAGAATTCCCGTCGTGGTAGTACAACTGTAGGCACCGGCGTTTCGGCGACAAACAGGACCGCGAAGAAGTGGCGGTGGACATGCTCCCACGGTGCCGGCTCGGCCGGACAGCCGGAGTGGCCGGCGCTGCTCGCCGCGACCATGACGGCTACTCTGATGCTCCGGGCGACCCGTCCTACCCGACGGTGGCGCACTTACACGTCTCGCTCACGCTGAGAAAAAATCTGAAGCGGCGTGCAGCAGTGAGCAGAGTCACCAACGAGTCGCGTGCCTCCTCGTGCTCCGCACCGTTCTTACCCATCCATAAAACTCACTTTGACCTCACTGAAGCGATGCTTCTTCAACCCCTGCCTGAATCCAAAGCGCAAAGGTTTTAGAGATTAGGACGCTGCGGATCCCCGACCTAATTCTATGGGATGTCTCCCGGTGCCGACAGCTGGGGTTCACGCAGTGTGCGGACTCGCCGCTGGCTCGCTCGATCGTCGACGACGCTGGCTCCTGGCTTGCACTCTGAGACGTGAGAACACATACGCTTGGGTTCCCCTATGTTTTCATGAATCATGAAAGACGAATCTAGAATCACCCCGGAGCCGGGTTCTTTTTTGCATTTTGGAATTTTCAACATGTGAGATGTGTGTGCCTCCGCTTCACACTTTTTAGGCGTCCACAGACAAGACACAACGCCGGTCACACATATGTCTGAGGTGTTCTTTATTGCGGCGCTGCGTGTGTGCGGGCGCCTCGGGCGCGACAGAGCGGCGAGGTGTCGGCGCGGTCGGTGGGGCCCGAGGCGGCGCTCGTTGCGCTCCCCAGCGGCCACGGCGGCCGGAGGCACGGGTGCTGCGTGCGGAAGCGAATAAGGACCGGCGTGAGAGCGTCCCGCGTCGCCGCCTCGAAGCCGGGCAGGAGGGGTCGGCGGCTGGCGCGCTCGCGGACGCTCTTCGACTTGCGAGGGTGGAAGGTGAGGGAGCCGTCTGGTCCGGGGTAGCCGCTCGCGCGCCAGTCGTGGCGCTGCAGGCCCGCGTGCGCGAGGACCCGGTTGAGGAGGGAGGAGGGGCCGGAGGCGAACTCCTATAGCAATCGCTTCATTAATTAATCGCTCGTTGGAGGAGGGAGGAGGGGGCCGGAGCGCGGAGGAGGCGAGCTCCTCGGTGAAGCCGACGAGGAGGGCGTCGGGCGGGAAGGCGGCGAGCCAGGCGGAGATGACCGCGGAGTAGTCGAGAACGAGGGGGATGGAGCCTAAGGTAAGGTAAGGTAAGGTAAACTTCTCCACACACACGAGGGGGATGGAGCCTGTGCGGAGAGAGACGCAACACGGGCCGAGGTGCGGGGGCGGGGGGGTGCAGGCGAGAGGTGGCGGGGCGTGAGAGAGGCGGAGTCAGTGCGGGGCCACAAGACTCAGTCTGCGAGTCAGAGAGCCTCCACATCCCAGCCACACCTATCTCAGGGCAGGGTGCGCGCGCGCGTGTTGCGCCTGGGGCCATCCTCAGGGCGTACAGCGCCTCGGCGTCCCTCGCCACCGCGACTGGCCGCAGCGGCGAGCCGCCCGCCGCACCGCCCGGCTCGAGCCGCAGCAAGCCGGCCCCCGCGGTCAGCATCGACTCGTAGTCGCGCTCGACGGCGCCGCCGCAGCTCGGCAGCGGCGGCCTGCGCTGGCGGCCGGCCTGGCGGAGGCAGTGCACGAAGCGCGATCGGACGAGGGCGACCGGATCGCGGAGCAGGAGGACGAGCCGCACCTATGGGGAATATGGGGAGATATGGATATGGGGGAGATGTGAGGCAGCCGGCGGTGCGTCATGATGGAGAGCACGCTCGGCATCAGCCGGCGCATGAGGAAGGGCACGTGCCGCTCGATGCCGTTCGCGACGCGGCTCAGGTTGTGCTGTGGCCGCGCGTAGCCGGGCGACTTTTCAAAGGTGAGGACCCGGCCGATGTGCTCGCGCGGCACGGGGAAGCGGGCGGCGTACTCGCTCCACGACGTGCGCAAGGCGGCCTCGAGGAGCGAGCGGTGGTGGACCGGGCCGACGACCCCGCCCGGCATCGCGCGAAAGATGCCGTGGTTGAAGTACTGGACTTCGCGGTCGGTGGAGGAGGAGAGGTTGGGGTGCAGGCTCAGCCAGCCGCGCAGCTCGTCGGTGCCCGCCTTGGCCATCCCAACGCAGACCAGCGACGGCAGGCAGGAGACGGCGGGGACGGTGGCAGGAGACGGCGTGCTCCCGCCGCTCGGGAGCGTGATGCAGGTGCCCGAGTCAACGGCGCCGGCGTCGTACGCGCTGGTGGCGTCAGAGGGAGAGAGCAGAGGACCGTGCGTGAACTTGGCCATCGCCGTTCACGTAAACGCACAACCCCGGGCCCCGAAATCGCACAGTGATGACATGCATCGCCGTTCAAAAAAACACACTTACGCCGTTCACGTAAACGCACAACCCCGGGCCCCGAAATCGCACAGTGATGACAGTGACATGCAACACGGGGTCCCAGCCGTTCACAGTCCTTGTTGAACAAGGGGGAAAAATACGGCGCCTTGCGCTGGTCTATGAGAGGTTGAGGTGCGAGCCCTGGAGGCCCTGGGGATGGGGGAGACTACCCGCGGGCCTAGAAGGCCCGCGCGCAGGGGGGTGGGACATTGAGATTGACAAAGGCGGAGGTGGAGGCGGGGAGGCTCGGCGAGCACGGCTGGGAGCGGCAGAGGATTCAGGATCGGTGCAAGCACTGATCTGAGAAGAGGGATGGCTTTGGTTGGTCACGATCGGGACGGATGACACGTCTGAAGCAGACATGCGGTCCCCCTCGATTCCTGTTTGCTGAATGTTGAAGCCCTCTTCGATGCAGTCGCAGGAGTGATAACCCATCGAGGTGGGAGCCGCCTGCGGCATACTGAATCCTCCACCGGTGACACGAGCCGACTCGTCCCGCTCCCCTCGAGCGGCTCGTTCACCTTCCCAGCCACGCCCTGCACAGCAGCATGGCCATCCTCGTCCTCCTCCTCCTCACTGGACACTGGTAGTTGTCCCACCCGTCGTCGGAGTCGTCGCCACGGCGCTCGAAGCGGCAGTAGAGCTCCTCTTCCTCTGCTTCCTCTGCTATCTGCTGCGCCAGCTGGTGTCCCAGTCGTTTCGGAGATAGCCGCGCAGCGGCTATGTAGGTTATCCAACAACGTGAGGAGAGGGGAACAGCAAGCATATCACGTAAACGCCGAAAGCGCGTCGCCGTCGGCTCGCAGCTTTGGGCCGCTTGCTCAACCCCATCGTCCGAGTCGTGCGCAATCTCGCGTGATGACATCTCGCCCTGATCCCACGCCAGTGGGGCAGGTGCATCATATCGTCGGCGATGGGGCCTTTCGAGCCGACGTTCCGCCGCACCCAGACGTTCCGTCACAATGCCGCCGCATGCCGCCGCAATGTCGATTGCAATGCAGGCAGCGCAGGAACCGTACTGGTGCGGCAAGGAAGAGGCCGGCCCACATGGGCAGACCTCCACTGGGGCTACGTGCAAGACAGTATGCAACGTGACGCCCAGAGAGACAGCTCCCCAACCCGCCGCCGCCAAGGCATTGGGCCTGAGGTGGAGCTGTCCGAGGACGGATGACCGAGTCCTCCAGAGGCAAGCCAGAGGCATGCCAATAGCAAGCCAAAGGTAAGCTGCTGGCGTCCACAGTTGGCGACCTCAGTGTCGACCACAAGGGGCGAGATCACGACGTGGCGTCCCGACACAAGGGTGCCGACCGGGCGAGAACGCCAGGCGAGCCCCACAGTGGCGTCCATGGCGTGAGGCCAAGGCCGCGCCATGGCGTCCACACAGTCGGGCGTCCACAATGTGTGACGACCCCATCGTGGCGAACACAAAGAGGCGACCGCTGTGGCGACCAGCGGTACGCCAAAGGGTGCTAGAGGCGTGTCTGGGTAAGCCGAGGCTTGACAGCCACCTTCGAGGCCTCGTGGCCACCTGTGAGGCTTGTGAGCCATCTCGAGCGAACCTACATGGGCGGTGGGCGCGAGGAGGCAATGGACCTCTGACGCATCACAGAGCTCGAGATGACAAGCGTGGCGGAGCTGAGCAGCGCAGCCTGTACAGGCGCTCGCACTGCCAGCCCGCCCTGCCCTCGCCCCGCCCCCCCGCCCGCCCGCCGGTGGCGGGCCCGTCCTGGCTGTTCCCTTGCAGGAATTGGCACTGGACGAGAGCTGGGGCGGCGTGAACGTGACATACCTGAGCTGGGGCGGCGTGAACCTAACAAGGTGCACCCAGTTACCGCTGAGCCGCGAGGCGAAGGCAACATGTTCTGGGGTGGGGGCAGGGTCGACCGGGCTCCCCACACCAGACATGGGTACCAAGGTGCACCGCATCCCCTGCTGCTCCTCTGATTTTCGAGGATTTGTCCCGGCCGGTTCCCCCAGTCTCTCGACCATGAGAGGAAAGACGTCCGGCGGGCCACATGCGATGGGATCGACGTCTACGACCTTGTCCACGTGTCGACCGTGATCGTGAGATGAGCCATCAGTTGTGTCGGTCTGCTCAAAAAGGAATAAAAGTAGGACTTGCCTGCTTTGAGTGTTGCTAGTCAGTCATGTTGCTCCGGTTGGCCCGTGGTCAGTCAGAGAGCTCAGACGAGAGGTCCCGTGCTCTGCGCTTTGTGCGCCGGTGGCGCTGCAGGGGCGACGCTGCTGCAGCGGCGACGCTGCTGCGGTGCTGCGCCTGCACAGTACCTTTGTGCACAGTGGCAATGACTCCCGGCACTTGATGTCCTCAAATGTCCACAGAGAGTATACTGGTTGTGCTCAGGTTGTGCTACATCAACAGGGTGCAACTGAGGCTGCAACTAAGGGATGAAACAGCTTTGCAACTGCTGCCCAAGTTTTGTTGATGGGCTGCAACTGCATCCTGCCACCTTGGACACCTCGACACCTTAGACGCAAAACCCCTTGACAACACTCGACACCTGCTCGACACCCTCGACACCCTCGACACCCTCGACACCCTCGACACCCCTCGACACCCCTCGACACGGTCAAGCATGGTTTCAGCCTCGACAGGCCTCAACAGGCCTCGACAGGCCTCGACAGGCCTCGACAGGCCTCGACAGGCCTCGACACCTCTATCCCTCGACAGCAGCTCGACAGCAGCTCGACACCCTCGACACCGGGCCTCGACACCTCGACACCAGGGCTCAGGGCGCAGTTCAGAGCTGTCGATGGCGCGATGCCGCACTGGTCCCACATCGGTGACACGAGACCACCACGTTTGCCGGTCCAAGAGAGAGGCACCGGCGCTGTCCTGAGAAGGTGCATGGTCCCTCTTGACTGCCCATGCGCGCGAGGCTGTGTAGGCATAGCCTCGATAGTGCCAGCAGCCAATCCGAGGCAGTTTGTGACGCGCATTGCGTCAGAAGCGTGCACGCGCTGGAAGGACACCTTCCTACTGGCCGTACGATCAGGTCGTCACTGAATGCCGAAGACTAAGGCCGCGAGCTATGCAGGCGGTCAGTTGAGCAGCATGGCACGGTCAGCAGCGCCGAAAGGATGTCGCAAGGCGTGATAGCATGGCCGCAAGAGTACGCCGAATTCCCATGAAACAAGTAAAAAATCGCGCGAAAAAGAAAAAATGTCAAAAAAATCGGCGCCTGCGGCGGGCTGGGGGACACCCCATCTCCCCCCCGCATGGGTACCCCCTAGGGCCCTCGCCTCCCCCCAGAGCGCAGAGGAGGGGAGGACTGCTGACGCGTGACGGGGGTTGCATTTTGGGTTTTGCCCGTCAGAGATACACATACAGCATACACGATACAGACAGGAGGAGGAGCGCCGGCCTCAAGCTCAACGCGGGGTCTCGGCTCTGTCGAGCTCCATGCAGCATGCTAGCTCCAGCCGCAGCCGCCCCACCCGGCCGCCCGAGGGTGTGTTCCCGCAGGCAGAGAAGAGACTAATCCTGGGGGAAGCAACCTGCTGAAAAAAGTAATACCTGGGCGCTGCCACACAGATGCGCGCCCCACACCAGGACTGCGGGCTAAGCGCGGGCAAGGTTAATGCCAGGGGCGGATATATGCATTTCGCGGGGCTCTCCCCGTGCCGTCTAAGCGACTCGCGCGGTCCCCAACCTCGGCCCCGGCGCCTGCTACTCGTCCGGCTCGTGTGGCCCCACAGCGCAGCCAGGGACCGCGAGGAAGTCGTCAAAGTCCCACCTGCGGCGCCGCCCCGAGAGAGGGTCCGAGCGCGGGCGCGGCGGCGGCCTGGCGGGCGGGGCGCGCGCTTTTTGACGCCGCAGCACTGCCACTGCTTGGACCCCTCGTGGAAGAGCGGCGGCTTGAGGTGGTACCTGTGGAGAGGGGGGGGGCGGGGGGCGCGCGAGATGGGGACGGGTTTAGCGCGTGCGCCGTAGCAGTCGTTGCGGGGCGGGGCGGGGGCGTGCCTGCAAGCCGTGCTGTGGTTCTCTGCCACGGAGTACTCTGCGTTGCACCCGGGGTGCCTGCGCGGCGCGGGGGCAGCCTCCCGGGTCAGGCGGGCGGCGCCTCCCGCCAAGGCAGAGGCGAAAAGGCACCGGCAGCGTGCGCGGCCCTCGGGCAGCGGCGGCCGCTTCCTGTGGGGGCGAGGCGTCGGCGGCGGTGAGGCCGTGGCGCCGCGGCGGGGGAGAGAGCGCCGCGCCGGCGCTGCCTCGGCGGCGGCGCGGCGGGCGGCGCGGCGGCGGCGCCGTGGTCTGGCGGGGGAGCGTTGCCGGCCGCGTCGGGCTTGGGGGCCTGGTAGAACTTCTTCGCGCCTGTGGAGGGGACAGAGGGTGGGGGGGCGTTGAAAGGAGGCCTCCGGAGCGCGGTCGGCGGCGGAGGATTGGCGCGGGTGCAGGTACCCTCGAGGTGGGCTGCGTGCACGCGCGCTGTAGCCTGGCGCGGGGAGGTGCGTGGCACGTGTCAGCTGGCTGCGGCTAGCGGGGGGGGGGGGG